GGAAAAAATTTGCCCGAGTATGTGCTCATTCAAGATGTGCTAGGGCACGTATTACGCAAGTGAAGCAATTTTTAGGCTGTTGCATCACATTCGTGGGCGATAGTCAGAGGCGACTAAATTACTAAATTGAGAAGTGACGGACATTATTGTGCAGGGTAAGGTCTGGAGCGGTGGGTAGTAAAGAAATGAGAAGCGTCTACATAGCTACCTTCACGCGCAGATGGCCAAAATTTCCAAACTACAACGGAGCAATGAAGCGAAGACTATCGGTACGAATGAAAAATTGCGATCCTTGATTATCGCGGAGCGTTGTCGTTTTCATGCTAAAATAGCTCCCTGGATTCAATAGACTTCCTGCTGGGGACCGCTGGTAAGTTCAACTAATCGGTGAATGGCACTCGTATAAGTTTAGCTTCCGGGCTGTTAATCAATTGTAAATAAAGAAACGGTTTTCCAAACACCGCTGCAAAAGGTGTGAGTAAGCGTCTGCATAAATTCTAAGGCCTAAAGGTCTGGGAATTCAAAGTAGCTGCTAGCTATCTAGCTGGCATGAAACAAAGTAACGTTAGCCCAAATCCATTAAAATACGACTAGTTTTGCTAAGACGCCTTTTTTCCTTTATGTGTTCACTCCTCTGTAACGAGAACTAGAATACAAGTTAACAGCTATGAGTATTCCGAACTGACTTCTCGAACCAGAAGAATGCAGAGATGGCAGGCCACTTGGTGTTCGAATTAGTTTTTCGCGCTGAGCACGAGCAAATCAGTCTTATCGAGAATGGCGTGCTACGTGGGAATGACAGCGATGCGGAGCACCTTTTACATATGACTGCTATGACTATCTACCACGGAGAATTTTCGTTCCGCCTCTAAAAAAAACAAAAATACTGTCCATGGCTCGTAAAGAAATACTGAGCGCGGCAGCTGCTGTTTCGCCTCATTGGTAAGTTTGATTGCTTATTAATACTTAACCATGCAGAGGAATTTGGTATAAGGTTTAAGTAAGTTAACCCAAAAATCCGATCCTTTGACGGGTCTCACGAATCCGGTTTTAGTAATGTACTCTCTTAGTTTCAAGGCTAACAACCAAAGAGGAACGTGAGCCGTCGTAACTGTTAGCCAAGCACGAGCAATTGCCTCCTGAATTTGTTGAAACCTTTTTCCAAATTATATGTCATTGATAACAGATATAAAGTAAAATTAATATATAATTACGCCATTAAGAAGGGATTGGTGTTGCCCATACTAAAGACCCTTTAGGTGAGCACGAGGCACGGAATTTATCACAATAGTTGTGCCAGCTGCAATTATTTTTTCCCGTCCAGGGCTGCAAATACTTTTCTACAGAAAAGAAGTCTATTTAATGACGCCATGCAAAGGTGGACCTAGATCAGGCGGTTAATGTAGCAAATACAAACTACCCTGCTCTAATTAGGAGCCAACACAAATCTGATTAAGGGAATCTCCTGCGTTCTATATTAAATGCCACTTTCTTTCAGTGACAACTGTGACCAAAAGGAAGCGATTTTTACATGAAAACTAAATTCACGTGTTGCTATGGTTAGAGATTTCGAACATACGCTCTAAACCGCTGTAACTGCAAGCAGGGAAAATGTTCGAATATAGTCACGTCTAACTGGTGACCTAACTCTTGAAGGCAGTATCGGGTCATCAGCCTACATATTTCATGCGTAACAAACTTCACTATATAGCAGAATAATCTGGTCTACGTAACTATGCATGTATGTTAACACGTGTACTCCTGTTCACGAATACTAGTCAATTGCCTCAACAACCCTCTTTGAACAGTTCACTTTAGACACTAGTTTTCCTTAAGGGCCAAGAATTTATTTATTAAATTCACAGAGAAGGCAACTAAAAAAGACCGATTTCGTACCCATACCGTAACACCCTCAAAGACCACTCAAAAAAGCATGCCGCGGATGCCGATAGAATATTGCCCTTCGCGCGGCAATTTTAACCTATTAAAACGCCATTTGTATTATCGGACATGATAATTATTACGGTCCATGAGGAAACTTAACTAACTTGGTATTTTGTTGTTTCGTATGGTCAACTACTAAAAAATTCGCAGGCTGTTAGAATAGCGTCTAGAAGACCTACTGACGTCAAATTCTAATTAAGTGTTCTCTCAGCTAATCTACGGTGGAAGAGAAGGATGCAATTAACTCAGCGAACTGCAATTTTCATTACTTTCGGCTCAGACAAGAGAACCTTAAAAAGTGACAGTTGATCATTCCCATGAGTTTCGTGATCTTGATAATTGTACTCGCGTTTTCCTGACGTTTTTCAAAAGCATACTAGCTTCCATTGGGTGATGTCCATGTGATACCGCATCTCACAGTATTCATCCGTGGTGGCTGTCTTGTTAAAAGAAGTTGACCTATGCGGTCAGAGCGATTGAAAGAAAGTTGTAGTCAAGGCGAGAAAACTACATGGACTCATTTTAGTTATTGATAATATGGTTGGCTTAATTAGAGTTAATTTTCTGTGTATAGATCTAGCAATGTTGCACTTAATCCAATGATTTGAACTTAAAGACGAAAAGGAAATCAAATAAGAACATGATATCGTCCATGCCTGCACCAGCCCCGGATTGTCCCACGAGGAATCCGTGGCTGAGTAGCTTTATGCACGAAATATATATTTACTGTACAAATTTTTCGAAATCTGTTTTTTTTTCAAAAAGTTTCCGTACTCTTTATTATGCGCCTTCTTCCGAAAAAAAATCAAATCGGAGGTTAAAATAAAAGAGGGGCATCCCGCTGCGGAACTATGCTCCGGAGGCGGGACAATACGTGCTCGAGCACAGTCCACAGTTCCTCATAAACAGATGAAGCTTGTGGAATAATCATTTGAAAATTTCGTAATCTGGAGCCCTGGCTAAAGATAATATAGATAGCAAAGGGTCTTTGACTTTTTGTACTTTCGGTGGTCCGTCGACCGTTTTTACAGCGAGTTCCGTTTTCTTCGAGGATCTGTTGATATTTCAATGATTAATTTGAAGGACAGATTCTGGCAATCCTACGCTTTCAACAACTCTTCATCCCACCAAACTTTTGCACGGAAAACGAAAGCTATACAAAACAATTAAAGTTTGAACATATAGAAAAATCAACAATTGTCTGACATGGGCGCCGATCGGCCACTGCGGATTATGTCAGTCTGCGCAAGTAGGCGCGATCGGCGTGTTGGGTGTGCGACTGACACTTGTGGGTTGGGGCGAGATGCGATTGCCATCTGGCGTCGGTGTCGGCCACTAAAGTGTACGGGCTTGTGTCAGCGGCTTCTGACAACACAGCACTAGATTCGCTAGCCGTATAGATATTGCTTCGGCTGTTGCGAACAGTCATCGCAACTTGGTCTTGGAGCTCAGCCGGGGAGCGACCCATGATGATGATGTCGTCCAGGTA